GATTGAATGTTTATTTCTACTGAAGTTATATTTATTTTATGTACATTTCTGTTCTCTTTGAATTGTGAAATTCTTTAGTTCTTGTTTAAATCTCATTTAGATTTGATTCATTTGTTGCCAATTTCCTTTGATATCTAAGTATCACATTGTAAACACAGTATATCAAAGAAAACCATTGAACATAGTTAATGAAATCGAGAATTCAGAGTAAGTAATCTCTTATATGAGATCAGTTTATTCTATGAACAATCTAAGTGTACATATGAACAAAACGCATAGATTCATTGAAGCAGTATATAAATTGAGAAATGAAAATCAGTAGGTGAATGGACACTTAGAAATATTGAGTGCCTTCATGCTATTTGTTCTGTTCTGAATCCGCTTAGCACAATTTGCAAAATATAAAATACAAGATTCTAGACTTTCTGAAAAGTTATTCAGTTCTTAATTACTTGCGTACAACTTAACAGTAATAATAATTATTAGTGGTTTTATTCAATATTATATTTTTGGTACAATATAGAATTTTCAGCACGATGTATCACAACAAGTTTCCTTTTCTCATTTTTTGATCGATCCTTGCGATAAATATTGAGTGGTTGCCAGTTAGATGTTAGCAGTTCAGGAATCTACATGTGAATAATGTATATTCTTCTCGATGCATATTGCCAGCAACCATTGTGTCTCTGATAGAGCTCTTTTGTAATTTGTACAGCGAAACGTCGTAAACTTTTCACAAACGCACTTGAATAGGTTATGAGACTAATAGGCATAATGATGTGTTAAAACAAACAAGGAAACAGATAACTTGTTGAGATATCTAGATGGCAGGAACAGGTAGCCCAGATATTCAGGCGGGCCACCTCGATGCACGTAGGCTTTTAATTTAATGCGCGATTGTCTTGAAATAGTGTATTTACCAAATATTATCACAGAAACAGATTCGAAATGAATATCTAATCTTTTGAAAATCCAAGCAAAAAGGAGTATACAGGAAATACTAGAAATTCACCTCCAACCTAAATTGTTTAGATAATAAATCACACTTAAATTAGTATTCGGGGAACTCATAGGAGAAACATCTGATCAACTATGTTTTAAATACAAGTTGGTGAAAAACGACGATAAACAAATTCAATAGTTCAGAGTGTACGAATTCATGCATAAAGATTATTACTGTTCACCAGCACCTGGATAAACAAGTGGACGAATACCAGATAGGTATCAAACTATATAATGTGATAACCGAATTAAAACCAGTTGCTCAAGAAAGCTATCCTCCAGGGAAAAAAGAATAGATCAAGTTAGCTATTTCCAGAATACTTCTTTAAGAGATAATTTGAAGTAAATTCTAAATATTATCATTATCACCATCAACACATAAAATACAGAAAACCGCTTATCACGAAGATATCAGAATGCAGTAATTGACAGCACGTGAATGTATATTAAATCAAACTTTTTGTAATGAATTTTCCAGGGAATGTTATAGGCTATAGACTTACTTGACGATGATTGGCTAGCAATATGATATCTTATTTCGCCGACTAAATGTTATCTAAATAACCTCAGGAAGATTTATGAATATTTGAAATACAGAATAACGGAAAACATGAAGCGACTATCCCAGTATGTCTGTGCATCAATAAAGTTTGAGTCATTCACGTATTGATGTTCGTAACCAAATACGATAAGTGTAGATAATGATCACATAATATACTGTAGACTTTCAAAAGAAAATATTACCAATGTTGTTCGTGCGAGCTATCAGTCTTTCGCTCATCAATTAATAACTTTAAAACAAGAGTATTGAATTATTTATTTGAACTTGTGATTTGAAGAAATGAGAGTAGTGATGAGCCATACGTCATATTATAACGGAAACTAAGAGGTTGTAATTCCATGACTGAGTATTCACATTATTTACCTTGAGTTAAACGAAAAAAGTGATTTAAGTATGCTTTAAACTGATTATTCTCTAACTAGGCCAAAACACTTATCTAGTGTTTCTTGTATTTTTATGAATCATTCAATCATCTATATTCATGATAAAATTATTACGAATTCATCAAATCACCATAACTAAGAGGTATCTTACAATAGATAAACTGGTAATAGATCATCTAATTGAATAACATGTATCGAAATATTCATATTCCTTATGCTATACATAATAATAATTTAAGTTGAATTCTGTCGTCTTTTCTTCTACAGACCACTTTAATTTGTAAATTATTTTACTGTTAATTTGCACGATTCAGATTTTAGTATGATATATTTTTCTTAGAAATTTCTCCTGATCATATTCGGTGATTCAACTAACATATAAACTACAGCCATCTGGTAGTTTTGCAACTATAAGACAATTACATTTGTTTATTTTCGGTAAGCCTATTAGTAACTGATGATATAAAGTTTTTTACGCATTAATGGAGATTCAGTTTGCTAATTGTGCATGATATATATATGTACGCATAGGGAGACTTAAGAAAAAATAATTTTTTTATCAATATGGGGCTGTGGAGATTGATAAGTTTTTGACGGAGATCATGAACCGGTTGGTGTTAGACCACCACTGAAAACCTGGAAGCACTAGATGGTCGTTTCGTCCTATTGTGAGACTCATCAGCCATCCAGTGCTTCCAGATTTTCAATGGTGGTCTAACATCAATCGGTTCATGATCCCAATCAAAAACATTTTATGTTAAGTCATTTAAGACCTCATTAAATTGAACTGGTTTTCTTCAGTCTTATATTTGAGTGCAAATAAAACAAATATAAGCAACCTAAAGCAAAACATATCAATTTAAAATTGTATATGGATTTTTCTTTACTTGGTGAAGGAAAAGTTAACCAGAAGAAAACAAAACGACGCAATGATAACAATAATGGAAGGTAACAAAGACTAAGTAAACAAAAGATAACAAGGTAGAAAATGTCTATAACAGTAGTCTACTTACCATTTAAAAAACGTAGTTACCGTTCACTAAACTATCATATCGTATCTCTTTATTCCAATCATTTTAAGATTTCTTCTACACCAAGTACACTGATTTATCTGCTTTCTCATAAAATGATTATTTTGACGGTATATATGTGATTTAATTATGTTGACATTGGAAATTCAGATAAAATGCTGATAAGAAAGTAACTGAAGAAAAACTAGTTATTCATAATATTTGATAACAACTGCTTAAGAAACATAAGTAGATAGCGAAGAAAATCTCTAAGTACTCTTCATGAAAGTTAGTTGACATTTCTGTAGACTGTTTTAAATAATATTGATTTATAGTAATTTAGGTTACTGAAAGGAAAACAAAAAGCTTTAAGAATAATATCATTTAGATTCCCTTGATGTTGTTTTACTTGTATCTCCCAATTGTTATTTAGTACTGCAATCTTGTTGGCATATGTGCATCCTGTGCGGATTGCCTCAATAAAGCCTTAAGTCACAAGCTTTTAGTTCTGAATATTTGAATTACACTAATGGAATAGTATTACTATCGGACAGAACTTATCCTCTGCATAAATCCGTAATTATAAGCAGTTATAGTAGCAAAAACAGAGAAAACATGAGAATAAATGTTTGAACGTTAGAAACACAATGCACCTGAATGATCTTTAGTTCTAGCTCCATTTTTATGATTATTACATAACGGTAAATATCGAGTTTAAAATAATAAAATCATGACAAAACTATTCATTTTTTTAAATGCCCACATACAGTATAATAAGCATAATTTTAAATATGAGTTGAAAGATAAACTGACATCATGGAGCTTTCGTCTCAAATTTTGAAATAGATAGATTAAATGTGAATACGTAAGTACTAGCTATGGTGGAATTTGAGTTTTGATAAAGAATATTTTTGGGTTTTGAAATGGAGAAAATTTGTAGCTTAAGCGGATGATTTTGGTAGTTTTGTTTCCGATAAAACCATCGAACTCAGAGAACAAAACTCCACATATATCTTCAAGTTATCTATTTCTGGTCTCGCCGTACATGATTGGTTGATCATATTAAAAGAATGAAGATTATGCAGACACTTCTCTAGAATTAACCCATCAGAAGCTATTTTGAATAATCTTGGCAATTCTAAGTGTCTTTGGAGCGTCTTTTAAGAAAATCAAATAAATTCTATTACAAAGCTTAAACCCACAAGGTGAACGATGATCCAGAACTCTACTCAGTTAATACCCGTTTTTAGAAGAGATAGAAAAATGCAGATAAATTTGTTCGCTTTGGGGGTTGCATCAGCCACAATTGGTGGTTAATTACAAAACTCCGTTAGTGAATAAAGAATTTTCATTTCAAGTTTATTAAATTACGAAGCCAACAATATATACAACTGTCCATTGATAAGCGAGTATAGTATGTGGAAACCCACACATTATTATTTTGTTACTATGAAAATATAAGGTTTGAAGTCGACCATAATTGTAACTAAGTGTTCATGGTATATCCAATTCGAAATCTTGAAAGTTTTAGATTCTCTCATTGTTTTCTGCTCACGACTAATGTGCTTTTTAAATCAATATCTTTACATCGAACATAGTTTTTTGTGGTGTGAACTTGGACCAGCGTTTTTAAAATTATGCAGTACATCAGACTAATGCTATTAAAAGACGGGAGTGTGGAGATAAGGGCCCATTGCATAAGGAAATCAATAATTTGGAACAAATCAATTTACTCATACCATTAGAAATCAAAAAATGACAAGTAACTATGTTTTCATTTTTTTAACTATGCGAAATAGGCCGGACAGTAAACACCTTATTTGAAATAAAATACGAACCCACCCAACCTTTCTCATTTCTAAGAATTTATGATAACTGATAAATGATTTGTCGAAAATTGTGTTTTCCTACTTAAATCTGTAGAAAGATTAGTCAGAGAGTTACTTAACCTTAAGACATAAGATCAAAGCGGGATTTAGTAATTTTCTTAAAAATCATACATTGATCGCTTTGACTTAAAAGACAAACAAAAGTCAAGCACTTATCTAAAAATAATATTTATTGTGTTTTATTTAGGTAGTTAAAATTGTTACAAAAAAAACATTGCATATAAGAAAATGTGAATAGATAAGTGTCAAGAGAAAAAAACGGTAGCGAAGATGGTAATGATTGACATGTCGCATGGAAAATTCAATGAAATCCACTTGAAAAACGTCATACATTGTATATAATGTTGATAAAAATCACATCATGTAATCATAAATTGACTGAATTGTTCGGTAATAGTAATGGAAGATATTGGAAATGTTAAAATATTTAAACACAAATTGAGTAGTCAGTAAAACACGACAGGTTAGATGAAATACCTGAATGTGTCAAATGATAGTCAGTTCAATTAGTAATCCTAATGCTGGAAAACGTATACTTAATCATACATACAAACAAACGTGCAAATACCTAAAATCACATAAGAATGCGATACATTATATAAGATAAATTCGTACATGAAGGGAACTCATTTAGTTAAAGTGTAGTGTAACTACGACGATTGCGTTTGCTGAAAACAATAAATACAGTTATGGCAACCACAATACAGACAATTAGTGCAATACCAACACCAATAGGTACCATATTATTAACATTAACATCTGAATCACATAACGTTTCTGTTAAAAAGAAAATTAAAGGGGGAGGGTTAAGTATTGAAAACAAACAAGTTATTTCGGAAGTAATCTTCCGTGAAAGATTAAAATTTAATGCTTATAAGCTTAAGTCTTTGATACGAGTTAAATGTTGTATAACAAGAAATGGAGTAACATTGGTTTATGAAACAATTTTATTAGTTCGTAATGATATTTCATAACTATGGTGACAAATTCCTCGATAAGTAGATAACAGTAATCCCGACAAAAGGATTACTATATCTATTAACGGAAGAAATATATCCAAGTAGAGAATTAGTTCTACTATTTTTTATATTTATTTTTATAAAACTGATTAAATGAAGTATAGTTAAGTGAAAAATAATTAAATCTCAGGTTTTTCTGGCAACCTGATTTTTAAGTAGTATTGATAGTATCCATGTATTTTTTTAGGATTAATTACTTTACGGATACGTCATAGTAATTTAATCGGTTAGTAACAAATTAAACATTTATATTCCTAGTAAACAAGAAAACTGTAGTGCACACTAGCTGAACTATTTATTAAGCACAAAATTCAGAAAGCACAATTTCCTTTGACTTGAATTAGCTACTATTTCAAAATAAAATAAATTCGGAGGCTAAAATGAACAGATACAGTAAATTTATTAATTCCTCCTAGTACTATTGATTACGGTGAAAATTGTAGCTTCTGGGATGAACTACCAAGAATCTAACAATATGGTGACAAATTTAAATTTCTATTAAGTTTTAATTCAAAAAAAGGTGAGTTACCATTTTGATTGAACATTTTGGAAATAAAGCACTCTCTAAGAGTTTGACTAATAAACAGCGTGTAAGTGAAAACGTTTAACTTATTGATCGATAAAATTACACAATATTTCAGACCAATTTCTAGTCAGTTTACTTTAGTCAAAATGGTATAACTGGATCTGCTAGTTCAAACAACGTTACTTTCATAATAACAACCAATGCTATTAAAACTGTTTTAAGGTTGATACGATTTTTATGAACTTATTTTACTCCAAATGAAGGAATTTTGCTGCTGCTACTATCAGATAGAAAGTAACAAACCTCACCAACTGATAAGATGATGTAAACAGGATTGGCATTTATTATTTATAATAACGAAATAAGGTACGAAATAACTAGTTTCATAATATTAATTTGTGGATTTCTAATGTTATATTCTTTGTGTTTTTACTATTATATGTAATGGAAACCTCATAAATGAGGTAGTGACTAAAATTCAGTTCATTCTTGTAATATACTGTTGTTTAGCGTGCTGAAGATATATATATATATATATATATATATATATATATATATATATATATATATATATATATATATATATATATATATATATAATCTTTGGTTTTCATAAACCTTATTTTTTGTTTACTATAATTCAATGAACTTCTAACACCAGCGCATAATTATGAGTAAGTGTTAAGGGTTAACAATGCAAGTGGAACGATATTCACAACAAACCAGATTAGGTTAATACAACTTACCGTTTCCAATAAATGCTTCCACAGAATTGTTCATGAATGCTTCTACTTTCAAATTTTTCATAAATAACTTGCAACTATTCAAGATTTTTTCATTTCCAGTCAGGGTAATTTCCGGTACAATCAAACATGAATAATATGATCCAACAGGTATTCTAAATACCATATTATCACTGGACACATTAGCATATTGACCTAACGATAGAATTCGAAACAGCAAATTACAAACATATATGGAATTATTATTATTATTGTTATTATCATCAGCTTTATTCAATATTATATTTTTGGTACAATATAGAATTCTCAGCGTAAAGTATTTCAACAAGTTTCCGTTTCTTTCTTCTTGGTCGGTCCTGGCGATAAATATTGAGTGATCGCCAGTTAGATGCTAGCAGTTCAGTAAATGAACATCTGAATAATGTTCATTCTTTTCGCTGTATACTCCCAGCAACCACATTGGCTCTTATTGAGTTTTTTGTAACTTTGACAACGAAAGGTTGTACACTTTTCAGAAACGCAGCAGAATACATCATGCGATTAATAAACATATTGATATATTAAAACAAACAAAAATAGATAACTTGTTGAAATATCTGGATGGCAGGAACAGGTAGCCCAAATGCTCAAGCAGGCCGCCCTTGTTATGACCATCTTACTAATTTTACACTAACTGTTTTGTTTTTTCAAATGACACATGATGGAAACTAATACAGATAATACATAAAATCGAAATCCTGGATTTTTACTAACTCCCTACAACCAGTTAACAATTACGAGTACATTATAGTGAGGACACATTTATTTTAAGATAATAAAAAAGAATGAATAAATGTAAATAAGATTATGAGAAATGTTTAAACGTTTCTTCTCAGCCGCCTGTGTTTTCGTTCTTTAGAACTGTTGAAATTGATTAACTTAGATGCTTGAATATTATAGAAATATGAAAAATAGAGACCAATTTTTTTAGGTAAGACCACTATATGTTCAGAGTTTATTTATTGACCTAAGTAGTTTCTTCTCAATTGTGAGCATATAACTTCAAATACTGCTATAACTAAATAAAAGTTCAGCAGCTCTGTAGAGGTCCATCTTCAAACGTTTCACTAAAAAATTACCAGATCATTAGTAAGAGACTCATTTGAATTTCATTGTAAGTTTAAAGGAGATCTTTAAAATGGAGAAACAGCAATAATGGAAAGAATAAATTTCGTATCAGTTATATGAAAATGACTTGTTCATATATTGGAGCCAGACAATATTCTAGACTTAGACAATAGACTGTTTAATAATGTAAAGATACTGAAATGAATAGGTATAATAAGAAATGAAAGAATTTACCATGGGAAACATTGCAGTTTTCACCAATGTCCTTATTATAATTGAAAATTCGATACTTTTCTTTAAATCGTATCACTATTTAGTAAACAAGTTGCTACAATCATATATATATATATATATATATATATATATATATATTGGATCGAAGGGGTGTCGAAACAATATTTTATGCACTGCTGAGGCGCTGGCAATTAACGAACTCAAGCCCGAACTCTGCGTGCAGAAACGGTTTGTCCAACCTCTCATCCTTCCTTGGCCCTAATTCCCTTAATGTTTTTTTTTGTTTTTTCTACACTTTTATTTGATTATCTGATTTTTTGAAATTACTATTTTGCATTTTAAACTCTAATCAGTTATTATTATTATTACATTATACAAGTTTTCTTGATTATTATTCAGTCTATTATTATGACCTATGTGTTTGTCCCTAATCTTCATATTTGTCAATTGGACTATTATCTGACCCATAAACAATTTCCTACCTTACCCCTTGATTAGTATGTAACCCCATTTGCTATTTATCCTCGAATCTATTTTTGTGATGCAATTTTTTCTATCCTCCTATAGACATTTTCCATATACGAATGTACAGCCTAAGTAAATGATTTCGTTGAAAAGAAAAATTTCTTCGCTGAATTCTCTTTTTCTTATTCAATGGGTTATCTTAATTATAATAAATTCATTGAAGAGATACCCTCTCTGTGCTTCGTGTTTTTAATTTTTAATCACCAAATCTTGTTTAATTATTGCGCAACTCATCTTACCAGTTTTTTTTTAAATCCCAGGATTCTTGTGCAAACCCTTCATTACCTTTAAAATTATCACACAATTTATCTGTCTTTGAACTTCACTCAATTATTATATCATTCATCCCTCATGCTATTTGATTCTAACACCAAATAACCTCCGACCTGTACTTGCACACACATATATAGTTATTATTGATAACCTTTGTTATTCCAATTCTTTATATTCGCTTATGTCAAGCCCTAACTTGGAATCCTGAAGGGAAGCGTAAAAGAGGAAGGCCAAAGAACACATTATGTCGGGAAATAGAAGCAGATATGAAAAGGATCAATAGGAACTGAAAGGAACTGGAAAGGACTGCCCAGGACAGGGCTGGATGGAGAATGCTGGTGAGTGGCTTATGCTCCTTCACGAGGAGTAACAAATAAGATGTCAATTGTTTCACAATAAATCTTACCCTCAATGCAAAATTTTAATACATATTTGGTTATAAGCAGCTGATGAAAAACCACAAAATATAATGAATTCATGTTATTATGCATCCATGTTCGTTCTGGCTTTATTTAATAACATGAAGTTTGTTACTAGTTGATAGTAACAGGATATGACGACTACAAATTCTACTAAACTTTATCATAACTCCTTACAAGTATAACGGAATGATTCAGTTTTACAGTCATACAGTTGTTTTATTGAGTGAGAATTAAGTAATTTTGTAACTTAGATCCTTAGGGATGTCAAAACAGAAGTTCAAACCTAGCTAAGTGATAATAGAAAATAAGAATAAGTATTAAAAGACATAACTTGCCTGGTGTCAATGAATCCGGAAATAAAGTCTTATCCATATAATAATTTAATATCAAACTGTTCAATGTATAAGTAGATCTCACAGTAGTCGCATCATTTGAAGTTTTGTTTGGTTCCATAAGATTAAACAAAAGAACTAATGTCCACTTATGCTCTTCGTTTTGTCCATATGGTATGAATGTGAGTGATAATTTTGTATAATGTTCACTACATACACTTTCATTATCGTTAATAGTAGCATTAGATATAGTAAATTCGTAAGATTTTACCAGTTTATTCTATTTTTCAAATGGAACACAATTTATAAGAGGAATGATAATCAAGTTTAAAAGTAACTGGTACATAAAAAACTAACAACAGTAGATAAATTTCAATAATTGAGTTTAAATATATCATCGAATCCTACTATTTTAAGCACACACACACAGAGGTTAGAGATAAGTACTAGAATCAATTAATGTGACTAAAATCTCTTAAGAGTTGTATGGTCTTCTGATCCATTCTTCCTCTTAAAATGTCCTCAACGCAGCTGTGAATTGTAGTTTGTCGTGGAATTTATAAAGCTGAATACAGGCATAAAAATAAAATGGAAATGCGAAAATGCATATCTCTGTGGTAACTAATTCCTGGATTTATTTAGAGTAGTTGGAAATCTCTGGTGCCCAAAATACATAGCTAGTGTGCTCCGACTGCATACTAAACAATTTGCTTTTGTTACTGGATAACGTCTGACACTGATTTACTATATTGCGGATAAAAAAACTCGAGTTACAGACCAGTAGAAAACTTTTTAAGACGTTATAAGTAATACCATATTTCATGATCCTGAAAATACAAATAAGATTTTCATCAGATATTTAGTACACCCTTAGAAATTACGTTGCTATCTATTGACGGTTGGTTCTCCGTATTTAATATGCCTTGACTTTTTCTGCGTATGAGTTAAAATGATGTAAGCCATATGCAATTACAAGTGTTGCACTATAAAACTAATTATCAAATTTAAAAACACCATCTGGATGTTCCAGCTCAAAATCTGAATAGTCTGCTTCATTGTCTGGATGTGAACAAAGATCACGGCTCGGAGAATATAGTCAATACCGTCTAATTAAGACTTTAGATACATTCACAAAAGCCATATTCATCTGAACTTCTATGTGGATTTTTCATTTATCCTCGAGAAATAATTTTAGATTTTGTGTTAAATCACTCAAAAAATATTGAAGTAGTGATTCTTAGACAGTCCTTATATTAAAGAAGTTAAGAGAAAATTATTTCCAAAGCTAACAACTGGTTGTCAGCTAGTCAAATTCTTTATTTTGTTTATGTATAGCAAAGACATACAATTGACAATAAGCTAGTATGATAACAAATTAGGGTTTTCTAAAATTCAATGTTTGACTGTGGAAGTTTCTAAATTATTCCTAAACAATAAACGTAATACATCTTCATGTATCAGTTATGCGCTCACGGTATAATAAATATTCGTTATACCCTTTTGGGATACTTCTTTGTATATCAATTCAGTGTTGATGATATTTATGCACATCACACTAAACATCAGGTTCATGCAAATCTATATATTTATTCAAAGAAAATTTAGTAATATTTGCAAAAAAGCCAATAACAAACGGGAGTCATAATGATTTGATAACAATAAATAAAATTATTCACGATTATATGAGCTTATGCATTCCACTATAGACGATACCTAAAACAGTGGAAAAAACGTTATTCACAGAAATCGTTCCAACTAATTCAGAATAAATCATAAGGATATTGTAAACTAAGTATATTTTTGACAAATTATTTAGTCTACTTGTATAAGGAAATGTAATGGTACATAAAAAACTTGTTGTGATTTTTCTAGGGAGAATTTTGACAATATCCCTTTTAAACAATGCATATTCTTACCTGACTGTGATAGAAAATTTGAAATTTTATATCGCTTTGAAACAGAAAGCAGTAAGAGCTTCCATTTTTCAGCGAAAATTTGTGTACATTTGGAATAGGTTCAACCGTTGTTGCCGCTGTTACTGTTGTTATCTCCATTTCTTTTGTTGTCACTCCCATTGTTGTAGCTGTTTCCGTTGTTTCTATCGCTATAGTCGAATCATTTGAATGATCTGTTGTGTTTTGAAGTACTATAGTGGCTGATTCCCATGTTGTCGAGTTAGGTTCATCGGTTGTTGTTGTAGGTAAATATGGTAAACTAGTACCGTTGGCAGTCATGTCATTGAAAGATACATTCATGACTGAAAAAATTATGTCATCAGAATAATCAGTCGCTTCTGTTTCTTCTGTCTCCGAAGATTCTGACGAGGTCGCATAACCTGAATAATGGGAAATTTTATTTGGAGTATAGGCGGTAGGTGTAAGGAAAAACTTTTTTGCTTGAACCAGTAGACAATTTAGCCAGACAAACTTTGCTTAAAGACTAAAATAGTGGTTCCTTATTCGCCATTATCAATAAACATTGTTAAGTTCATAGTCAAAGATTCCTTAGATGACAGATAATCAAGCGACCTATCATTGTTACTTTCTAAAATATTCGACAGATCTACAGCAGTCTCATGTGAATGATATTTGTGGTCTGTAATTTATCTGTCATAATGTATGTATGGCATATTATGCACTAAAACAAAATGGTTAATTTTACTAGTTTGTGAAGCTTCAGTTCACAAGATCAGACACATACTTAAGTGAACCATAAGTAATTTGAACAGTCAAATGATAACTTTTCATTTGTTGTTCGTTAAGCTTCTAGATTTTAAATATGCTAGTTTACAGTTCAAAAAGAAAATGGAATACCACATGAACTATCGACAAAATATTACTAGTGTATTTTTAATGGTTTCGAGGGTTGTTTCTTCAAAAAGTCTTTTTACATTACGCACTTTTAAGAGAATCCAATAATTGATGCATAGTGAATCAAACGTCTAAACTTTAAAACCTTACATTCTAGTCATCTAATGACAAGAAAAATACATAACGTCAGAAGCTAGACATCGCAAAAATATTTTAGATAAGATAAAAATAACTGGTAAATAGCAAGTAAAAGTGGAGTTCTATTAACAGGCATGTCATTCGCTATTTCTAGAAAAAACAGGCAGAAACACAGTAACAACGCAAAACCTAGAAAAAATATGTATTGCTCTTAGTAGCTACACATTACTTCAACGCAAACAAGGGAGATTGACTGAAGGAAACTCGATTAAATTACTATTGTAGCGCCAAAGTTAACAAGGAACTACAATGAAAATACAAATGATAACCAGCAAGGTTATAAAATTTAAAAAAACTCCAAGAATATTCGACTACGAGTCATTAAGATAGGAAACGAATCGTAGAAGTGTGAGCCTCTTACTACTTTCCTCTATGTATCGTGAAATCTTCCAAGAAATCCATGGCCCCTCTATTTGATTTATACGATCAGTTAGGGGCTTCGTGACCAAGTGCCATATTTTAGTCACAGCAACTTAATACATTTTACAACATGTGTGACAAGACGGATAAAGCCCAAATCATAGACATTTTAAGAGATAAAAATACGCAATCTTTGTAATGGAATTATCCCGTAACCAATCAATTTATGCTAAGCACCGAAAAATATCTTTGTGATTCCCATATATTAAAGCAATGTTTGTTAAATATTTATTCTATCACTTTCACTGTTCGGTGGATCTCACGGTAAACAAAATTGACTGTTAAATATCAACATTAATTTCTAACAAGCTTGTGGACATACCTCTAGGAAAGGAAAGTTAACAGTTCATATGAATCACTTGTCTGTGAACCGAAATCTCACCAAGCATACGTTTAACCAGGGTTAGTGAGAATACAAATTAATCAGTATGCTAAATAATATACTTTGTTACGGTCTAATTCCCAAGGAACATTATCGACGAAAAGTCGTTAGTGAATGATGAGAAAATTAAAATATGAAACCCAGAAGGTCATTTCTTGAGTGAGTTGGGATGTAATTTTATTAAATAATTAATTCAATGTTTTTTTAAAAAAACTCTGATAATACGCTATCATTTAATCAATTATTTGTTGTTTTATCGCTTACTGTTCAAAAATTACAGTTAGCTATGCGTTAATTAGGTGTGCTTTAACAAAGGCCAGAGAAACGTAAGTTTCGTAGTTTATTTGTCGTGCATTATGCTTCAATATTTTAAATATATAAACATGATAGCCATACGCCCAGAAAGCTATGACTGCTATTTTGGCCTTGTGGTGTTCTGATTGACGAGTTGAGAATATGTAAGGTTCATATAAGGCTACCAACGATGCCATAAAAGATAGATAAGTTAGTTGATTGGCCGTTACCAGCACAGGCGACAAATGCAACAGATAAATATATTACTTAAAATATCCCCACATTGTTATTAAAACTATGCGCTGAGTCCTGATTTTTTTACATTTACAAACAATGTCATATCAAGTGGCTAATTCAAGTTGAATAACGAGTTGGTGGAGAATAACGAGTACTCAAGAAGCAAAGCAATCTGTAAAAGATCTTAAGAATAAATAAAAACTTTTAAGGCCACGTTCAAATGAAGTCAAATATTATGTTAAGCTCAAAACATAAAGCTATAGTCATTTAACGACGGGCTTGTTTTAAGGGTGCTATTCAGCCCATATATTCCAAGTCCAATCTAAGACTTGCCCAGTTTTTACTGGTTCTCTGTACTTGAATTTCAGCTCGGTATGGGTCATTAATGAATTTTATATTATAGAATAACATAGAAAGACCTTAGTTTTCTTTCAAACATTATTCAGAGTAGCTCAATGAGGCAATGACTAAGTGTGTTGGGAGATTTCATTGTTCAATTTAATGAATATAAACGACTATATAAAAAACACATTATTCAGCGTCATTTGAAAAATATTAAAGAAGCTATCAACGTCTACAGGACTTCGCTTATTAACCAAAGTAGAGATTATATTAACACTAAAATCACGTCCACTTACACTTGATGATGAGTCCGGAAAACAACCATTTTCTTTTTTGCTCATATAAAATAAAGCAAAAATCACCTTCATGTGTAGCTCTATTATAGACTTTGTCACTCATTTATGATTTATCTAACTTTACTTAATTATCTACGCCTGTTACTTCTCGTGAAGGAGCATAGGACGCCCAATAGCACTCTCCATCCAACCCTGTCCTGAGCAATCCTTTCCAGCTCTTCCCAGTCGCTATCCATTCTTTTCATGTCTGCTTCCGATTCTCGGCGCAGTGCGTTCTTATGTCTTTCTATTTTCCGCTTCCGTTCAGGATTCCAAGTTAGGGGTTGCCTCGTGATGCAGTTTGATTATTTTCGTAACGTATGACCTACCCACCCCCAGCATATTTTCCTAATTTCCTCCTCAAATAGAAGATGGTTTGTCCCTTTCCACAGTAGGTTGTTGCTGTGAAATATGTGAAATACTTGTGTCTTTTTGATGATGATTGTGGTAGTTCTCGAAGTTTTAGCTCCGTACAGTAGAACTGACTGTCTTGACGTTCGTATTGAAGATTCTTACTTTGATATTGGTTAGCAATCGCTTTGCGTTCCATGTGCTCTTCAACTGTAGGAGTGTGGCTTTTGATTTGCCAATCCACGCCTCTATCTCTGCATCAGATCCTCCCTGTTCGTCGACGATGCTGACCAGGTACGTGAGATTCCATATCTTCCGGAGATTCTCCATGAAGTGTGATTGAGATGTTTTCTGTGTTATATTTGAAGATCTTGCCTTTACCTTTGTGTATGTTGGTAACTACTGCCGCAGAGACTGCTTCTACACTGGTTGCGTTAACCTGCATTTGTCGGTGTGTATGGGATAGAAGGGCCAGGGCGTCTGCGAAGTCCAAATCGCCTGGTTGCATGCAAGATGTTCATTGTATTCTGTTTTTTTCCCCGTCAGACGTAGAGATCAAACACTGAGAAAAAGAAATAAGGGAGAGTAAGTAGCCCTATCTGACTCCGGTCCTCACTGTTCTCCATGTACCACTTTTCACTGTAGCCTGTCCCATGAGTCCCGGATAATTTTGACGCTATCAAATGCTTATAGGACATTCCATGTGCCTATATTAATTGTCCTTCGAGTTTTTAAGAGAGCCATTGGCCTCTTGACTTCCGAATAACCTCAGCCTTTACCGTGAAACGTCATAATTCTTCCGAATGAAAATCCATTTACTCATAGGGCAGAATTTAAATGCCTTAAATTGTTTATTGTGGTTAACATTTCGTTAAAGAGATTATTTCCTATGGGAAGGAGTTGCTGACCCGATGCTCAACCTTACTCATTTATCCAAGCTTCATTTACCATAAGATACTTTTGCTACTGTATATTCACATAAATGATTCTTAATAAAGCGTAATGAGTACATAAACATCTACGATTTTACCTTAAGCAAACCCAATTACCGCTTGATTTATTTATCTACACTAAAATTTGCAAACCGAAACTATCCGTATTCCGAATATTTATTTCCATGACTGACAAAGACTGCAGTAGTTGTGAAAGAAAACCAAGAGAACTAGCATCTCAATGTGTTTGTGTGAGTTTCGCTGTCTGAGCTAAATCATTTCATAATGGAGTTTTCATTATTTTTCCGAAAATCACTGTCATGAATTCCAGATAGAAGTAATATATTTGAATTTCTTCACATATAACCGACAAGTTTCTTTGTTGGCCTTGTTTTTTAATGTTCACTGTTGACATTTACCCCGTCGTTGTTTGCATATTTATTCCGGTTACAACCCACTTGGATCTGAATAAGGATCTTACATCCATTCACAATTTTTCAAACTGGTTTGTAAATTGTATGTATATGGGTGTATTTATTGATGGCTAGGAATTCTCTAGTATCTTTAGTATTCTCTTCATCTAACGTTTCAAGATTTCCCTAATCTATCCTGTTCACAACTGTCTGCACGCATTGATATGAGCAAACGTACATCATCAAGCTTGATAGCTATTTGGTATTGACGCAGATGAAAATAAAGAAAGCGACTACTCAGTACGACGTTTTTCTTGCGTTTGAAAGTTTATTTTGTAAATGATATTTGATTCTCCTTCTTTTGTCCCTTCATCCTTTGGTTTGCACTGAATTGATTTGAGTGGTTTTTATGGTTTATATGCTGGACATATTCCAAATGGCCTTAATAATTTTGTTGTAGTTTCCGACACGTCTTTTATATATAGCAGGGAGATCTGTTTGTTGATTCTCACCTTTGATTCCATTTTTGCAGGTGAGTTTAATATTTTTGATTAAGTTGCACGAATAGACATGTACATGTACATAATTTATGCAACATATAATAATCTGTTTGATTTTGCATGAATGAGTTGTATCATCTCTGCATCTTAACCACGAATCAAGTTTTGAACTTTTATCATCCCAAATATTAGGTTGATCAGTTTTTTTTATATTTAAACGACGGGCGTAGAACATTTGAGAATAAAGATTTTGGGAGAAGTCACTTATATAATCAGTAAATCCTTTAATTCCGAAGAATCAAAATATTTTAAGATGCCACTGTTCCTATTATTTTTATTTGCTAGAATACAGCTAAGATTATATTTGTATGACTTGTTTGTATTTAATGCTAAGACAAAACTAGGATTTAGCAAAAACACGCTTCTACGGCACTCGCTCAAATAATAATCACTTTTTGGGAAGACAGCTAATATTTAAAGTAGGGACGTCTTTTTTAAGCCAGAGCATATCTAATTTGTCGTATACATGCCAATGGATATCAAATCCTGAACGTTTAGAGGATTATAGACCCTGTTTAAAGGCAGCTTCTTTCAAAACATTTCTAAATAACTCAAATACTCTACTCTGTTTTTCTACATTACCTGAAATACCATCCACAATAGACGAGATTGAGATACAGAAACAAATATACGAGCAGCAATATGCGACATACGAAACTGAAATCCGTATGTTTGTCAGTATTTAAAGATTCCACCCTCATGTTGTTGATGTATTTTGAAAAAAGAGGTTCTGTACTGTAAGTTGCCCTAGTTATAATAATCTCCAAGATTATAACCATCAATACCAATATAGTTTCACCAAAATACGAATAAAACTTTAGCATATACATAGTATTCGGTAAATTAGTATAAAACATCCCAATTTCCAAATTTCGAGGAAACGTTGGAGATTTTCAAAAAATATTCGAAAATTCTGGTGTACTTATAAATACCTGTAAGTACATAACGTGTATGTCAGTGTATTGGAAACGAACTTCAGTGGATTTAGCATTAATAAACTTAACTCATTAATTTAGGCCAATCGGTGTTACAGTTTTGTATCAGTTGTAAGAAAGAGACATTAGTTTCATAAGTATACTTATGAAAGTCATGTGACTTACCAGCTGTTTCTGCAATCCCGTGTACATCGCTACTAGAATGTGATAAAAGCACGAGAAACAAAAGCTCTGGAAATAACCACATAATTTTATTTCTGAAACTAACCAATATAAATCGAGCTACCCGACAACATCCTAACAGGAACTAAAAAATTATTTGTAATAGTGACAACGTAGAAATCGGTCGACAAAAACAAATACTAAATGTTTCAATAACATGGTTATGCATAATTCTTGTATCTCAAAAATATTGTTTTGCATGAAATGATTGTTCTATCACTGAAACGTGGAATTCGAGACTACTGGACAGTCATAAGAGCATATATTTTCCCATAACAGTGATCAGTCTGCAATATATTCTTAACCAGAAACACTGAACATGATACTAGTTTGTACATGTCTAAGCCAAGAATAAGGTTTTTTATTCAGACAAATGTAAAGGCTTGTTTTGACTGTTCGTGAGCACGATAGAACGAAACAATTCTTTAAACGATGAATAATTTCTCAGTAGGGTAATTTTTGACACTTTGGATGGTCTTGATAGGTTCAGCAGGCGTCACTTTGTACCAACTGCTTGGTAATCACCGTCATCATATTTTCTCACAAGCCAAGCAAGGAACTGTTTTTTCTCTGGGTTAATGGATCACTATTTTGTATTTCAGTTGTCTCATTTTAAGTTCAGGTACATTATTCATCCGGGTCCTTATCGTCTTCTTCAGCTCTTGCCTTTTCAGAAACATTATTGAATTATCTGAAGATCGTGAGTGGCATGTTCTCTGTATACCGCGTATCTTGGTTGATGAGATTCTCATGTGCCAATTGTGTGCCTGTATTACTGACTCGCGGAGGACTGAAAAATAGTGCTAATAAAATGAATATCTTACACTTTGTATACTTTCTGTCGATATATAGAGTTGATTTGAAGTAACAAATGGAAGTTGAATACAAATTGTGGTTGGGATATATATTTTTCATATATGCTAAAAGTGAAAGCAGATAAAAGATAACAGTTGAACCTAATATATGAAGCAATATAGTTTGGTACAACACCGACTGACGAAATAGTGAGTTAAGTTTGGTCACCCTCAAAAAGGCACTAGAAAGCACATGGAAACGTATGTATCACCATATGCAAGTGCCCAAGTTAAATATTTTAATATATGGAAAGATCAGAATGATTTGCCTGCATTAGAAGTTACAGCGAATCATGATGGCGTTATAGTAAAACAACTGATGCATAATATAGTTAGAATAATGAAGATAAGTGTACAAACTATAACATGTCACAGAGTGAAAACCCAAGGGCGAGTCTTACTTCACTTGAGTATGTAGCCATAAATAAATCCCCAAAGTCAATAGATCCACAAGTCCTTGACACTTGATGCTGACCTCATTAGTTTTACTGGACTCACCTAGCTGAAGACGCTCGGTTACGCATCCGTATCAGATCAAGGTTGGATACGCTGTGCTACGCACCCCTCTCATCTACCAGCCAGCTTAGACCGAAAGTTCCTTCGACATACAGATAGCCTTCCAAATATATCTTCAAACTCCTTCATTCTTCACTTCTGATTTGACTGGGTTGGCATATTTAGGTTATGAGTGTTAAGTGAAGAAAATCCACATTATTATGGTCTCCTTTTAAATACGCGAATTTGACACGATCAACACTGAATTCGCTCCGTTTTTACTAATGAAATATTATTTAGATTGGCGATAAAGGAGTTGAAGGGTTGTTCGTATGCCTTTTCGAGGGGTCGTCGTAATGAGTCGTGACGTAAGAAAACATATGTTCTATGTCGTGAGTCAGGTTGAACGAAAACATCAGTTGACTGTGGTTGATTGAAAACAGTTTTAAGTAAACGCATGGCATTTGTAAGTATGCTTGTGTGGGAGTTTAGATCAATGATCGTTAACAAAGATGAACGATTCACAAATTGTCTTTGAAGTTGGACGGTCGTTTCGGAGATGAGTTGTGCTGCGGTGTATCCAGTGTCAACATTGACTGCATTACGAAAGCGCCGGTCAACTGTGAAACGTTCGCAACTCAGAGTGGGGCTGTCGGTAAAATCGCTCTACCAACCCGTAAGCAGATGGGCGGTAGGCAGTCGTTCGTAATCATGTGATTCCCAGTAATGTGGCA